CGCTGGCAGCTCACGCAGGGTGAGCAACGCCCACCGGCTGTGCCCGCGGCCCGGCGGCACGCAGGTGCAGGTGCTGTGCCCGCTGCCCGAGACGCCCGGCGTAGGGCCGGGATGAGCACCCTGCCACTGCCGGTCGGCTGCAGCTTGGCCCTCACCCAAAAAGATCTGCGTATGCACACGAGAGCCGGGGTGAGGCCACAGGTGCGGGGGTGAGAGGACTCCCCAGAGGCAGAGCGGGGAGCAGGCAGGCGGGTCCAGGGAGACCCAGCGCGGGGGGGCGGCGGGGCACAGGCGGGGTCTGCTGCCCTGGGGGTCACTCCCTGGCCAGGATTGACCTTCTGCAGATAGCTTCATCGTGCTGACACTTAACCCCTGTGCCACCAGGGAGGTGCTTACCCCTTATTTTAAATTGCTGATTTCAAAGTTAGTATTTTGTGTTACTAAAAATTTACAGAACGTTGATCATTTTACCCTTCAAAAAGAGTCTCCCAGGGCCCTCCCTGGTGGTGCAAGCGCTTCAGACTCAGCACTGTCAACCTCTCCTCAGCCACTGCTGCATGAGTTCGATCCCCGGCCAGGGAGTGACCCACGTGGCCCAGCAGGCCTGGCCTGTCCCTCCTGTTTCTCCCCTCAGCAGTGGGTTTCAGTGCATCTGCCTGGCCTGCCCCCCACTCTGCCTCTGGGGAGTCCTCTCACTGCCCCTGTATATCTGGCCTGCGCCCCAGCTCTTATGCATAAATAAATAAATCCTTCAAAAAATGTAAAAAAAAAAAAAAAGTGATCCAAACTAAACAATGTGAACCCTCTCTTTTCTTTCATGCCCCGATGACCGCCCCGGGGACGCAGGAGCCAGCCGAAGGTAAGAGTCGGCTTCGGCAGCGCTGTGGGCCGGGCGCCGTGGAGTCCTGGCGGCTTCCGCGCCAAGTATTTTCTGCCACTTCTGTAACAGAAGCACAAGCTGCGGCCTGTTCACGAAGCCAGAGGCGGCACTGGCACGGGGGGGCCTCTGGCTCTGGGGCGCTGTCCCCGCCGGCTCTGGGGCGCTGTCCCTCCCGCCCGGCGCTGCACACACACGGCTGTTGTGCTGCGCTCGCCGCGGGTCGGCTCAAGACCGGCCTCCACAGTGCGGTCAGCGCGGGGCAGGCCCGTGCGAGTGGCCAGAGGCGGCACTGGCACGGGGGGGCCTCTGG